CTAATTAGTCATAACCATTCAGAAATTCTAAAATTATATTCAAAGTTTTCAACTCACGCCACTAAAACGTTGCCACGCCTCAAACCCCTTCGCTACAGTGTAGGATGTCCTTAATTACGATTTACATTTGTGAGTGGCACTCAAGTAATTACTCGGATGTGCATTTACGAGGCATTAACCCACTGAAGTGTAACAACGCAATCTTGAGAAGGATCTCAGCTTTATATACTTTTCCATTCATAAAGATGCTTTTTAGTAAATGTACCTACTTAGCACGTGTATGTGTTTCCACGCTCAAGTACTGCTGAAAAGAGAAAATATTTCATAATTTGGGACGAATTTACTAAATTATTATCCTCGTAGCGCCCACGGATTTTTTGGATCCTCTTTAACTACGACCCGACCGTTCTTCTTATAGGACATCTAGTTATAGTCCTATCAGCCCAAGATTTTGAGTTGAAATTCGTATGTGTTAGAGTTACCGGTTTGAAGTGAAACTTTCAGGGTATAATTATGATTATATTAGCATGTGTTTTTAAATTCAATTATTTGTCTACCTTTTGTTCTTTACAAAGGCCATCGGGCCACAAATACTAGATTAAAAGGAAGTATTAAGTGAAGTAAAATTAAATAATACAAAAAATTAGTAGTGTAAAGAGTATTAAATTAATAATAATAATAAATATAATAAATATTTTTGAACAATTTCACACATAACGCTATCTAGCCCCATAGTAAGCAATTAATATGCTTGTGTTATGGGTGCTCGCTTAACGGATATACTACATTATATACGTTTTAAATACATACATATTATACTAGTAACACCCAGACCCGTCACAGAAATTAAAATTCATTATTTTAATTTCTGCCCGGCTGGGAATCGAACCCGGGACCTCTCGGCATAGTAGTCCCTTTTAGAACTACTACACCAAACGGCCGACAAATAATTAATTAATTAAATTAATTATTAGTGAAAGATAAGTTGCATTTTTATATTAGTAATATTCCATAAACCAATATAACACAAAGCCACAAACTAAAAATATTGTGATATTTTTAGTACTAGCTTCGACCCAACCGCCTTCACAAAGTACATATTATTTCAAACCAAGATTTCGCAGAATTTCTGCCCTAAAAATGCAAAGTAATTATCTCTATTTAAGTAATACCTATTCGTTAGCAACTTTTTGCATAAAAACATACTCGACAACCACGGATTATCATAAAAAAATGCGATTTACTAACTACGTGTTAGTGAGCCGTCCATACCGCCGGCCATTTTGCAAAAAATCCCATCTGTCAATTGTGACAGCCAATGGTAGCATACCGGAAACTGTTCCCTAATATTTCGTTCAGAAATCGAATTAAATTATTTCTTTAAGCCGCGAAATTTCAAAAATCTAGACAAAGTTTAATAATATGGCCTTCTGAAAGGCGCATGGGCGGTAATTGAAAGTTAGTTGAAAAAAGTTCTGGGCTGTAGTCGCCATGTTTATTTTGGGTTATCAAAAGGCGCGTGGGCGCTACGAGGACATACACTGAAAACTTATACAAGAAACTTTTTGGAAGAGGTTGATTAAAAAAGATTTGCCCCCAGAAATAGAACGTAAAACTGTAGTTCGCTCTAATAAATAACCATAAGTATTCATTTGGTAGGTAACTGCCGGGCCGGCCTTTTGATCACCGGTTGCATCTTTTAACCTTGTTGAAATGCCTTCAAAGAGCACGTGCCATAGGTACTCTCAAGGTTCCTACAAAGGTGTACATTAAAAGACTCAAATGAGAAGCTCGCACAGGGTTAAATTATGTGGAATATTACTACTATTGTAAAGTCTTCAAATGTGTATTTTTTTCTTGATATTTGTGTTTTTTTTCCCTACATTAAAAGTAGTCGCAATTCGCAAATACGCTCGGCGCGCAGCGTCGACCAATAATAATTAAATGTTTGAATGTTTTTGAAATACATCCACATTTAAATTTTTTGTTGATAATATAATAATGTATTTTTTGATTGTAATTGTCTTTGTGTTTTCTCTGTCAGTGGATTTTGTGAATTCTTTTGAGAAACTAAATGTCTTTGCTGGTGAGATAAGCTGAGCTGTAACTATTTTAACATTTACCTTGTTGTATTACCTTGTCTCAGTGAATAAATGATCTTTTAATCTTGTTTTTTTTTTAATCTTTTAACCGTACATTAAAGTAGGTGCTGGTTAAATGAGTTTCATAAAATTCTGGTCCCGTCGGAATTTCACCTACTCACCATTTCCAATTTTAATTATTATTTATCAGAATAGCTCATGAAAAACCAATTACTTTAAAGCTTTTTACTCACAAAGGTCAATGGCCACCAAACTGAACTTGCGTAGGCTGAAAATTCGCGCTTTTTTAAAGCTCACAGCAAGTTTGCAAACAAACAACCTTTGTGTTTTTTCCATCAAAAACTAAATGTGTAGGTGTTGTTTTCAATCAAATATATCGCATAGATTTGTACAGAGTTTATTTTTATTTTACACAAAATATAGAGTGGATACGAAAAGTTTGTAAATCATGTGTAACTTTACAAATATAAGCTTTGAATTGCGAGTTTGCAGATAGATAAAATGGATTGGGTAGGGGTTTATAACTTTCTCTCAATAAACGGTCAAGTGTGAGTCGGGCTTGGTTACTATGATTGTATCGTTCGTTCGTTTCAGCCAAATGACGTCCACTGCTGGACAAAGGCCTCCTCCAAGGTCTTCCACAATGAACGGTCCTGCGCTGTCCGCATCCAGGCTCTTCCCGTGTCATTCAAAAGATCGTCGGTCCACCTGGTAGGAGGCCTGCCCACGCTACGTCTTCCAGCCCGTGGTCGCCTCGAGAACTTTTCTACCCCAACGGCCATCGTCTCTACGAGCTATGTGCCCCGCCCACTGCCCCTTGATTTTAGCAATTCTGCCGGCTATGTCGGTAACTTTGGTTCTCCTATAATAAGAAGGCTCAAGGTCACCCAAAGGGAGATGGAGCGGGCTATGCTCGGAGTTTCCCTGCGTGATCGAATCAGAAATGAGGAGATCCGCAGGAGAACCAAAGTGACCGACATAGCCCGCAGAATTGCTATGATTGTATAATAAAATATAATTGTTCTTATAGCCACTATAATTTTTAAATGAAAAATGTCTATCTATATTGTTCAAAAGATACTATTTCGGTTCAAAGATAAGCGCTTATGACAGGTGTTTGAATAAACAGACAGCGACAGACAGCGAAACCTTTGAAATAAGATTATGTGGAAACCTTTTGGGCAAAATACAGCAATTCCCCGCGTGGAATTTTGTCTGTCACAGAAAAACTTAATCGCGTGCGTCCCTGTTTCAAAAACCGGGATAAAAACTATTCTACGAGTATGTCCTTTCCTGGGACTCAAACTATCTCTATGCCAAATTTCATCAAAATCGGTTCAGTGGTTTAGGCGTGAAAGCGAGACAGACCGACAGACAGACAGAGTTACCTTCGCATTTATAACATTACTCGATACTCTAAACTAATAAATGTCTTTTGACTTGACTTAGACCTAAAATGCTGATTGGTTTTACAAAAGCTATTTTTATTGACGTAGACGAGGAATAAGAATGGCTATTTTGAAATTCAACCCTTCAGGGGGTGAAAAAGGTTTGAATTGAAAATCTGTATGGAATGTCCGACATTTTGAATTTAATGTAAAATCTGTGCTAATAATTAGCAATAAAGAAACATGTTTGTGGTGAAATAGGTAATGACAAGTAGGTACATCTATTTTAACCTAATAACGCTAGTGAAGCTGCGGCCAAAAGCGAATATCGATATGTACATACAAATATCACATTTACAGCGCTACAACGCGCTTTGATGCATTGAGTGGGCAGGTGATAGGTGCTCTGAATAGCTCACTAACAACATAGACAATTCAGTGAGTCAAATAGACACGATACTTACTGTGGTATTGTTTTACAGATGCTCCGAGTATTCTCTCGCTCACAATTAAACTGACACCAAAGCTGGCAAGTTAAATTGCATCAAACATTGTTTAGGGTGGTTTATATTTGAATTAAGTTAGCGTAGGTAGGTACTCGATCTAATGTTTTGAATAGAACAAAATACATTCGACTGTCTACCGTTACATGTAGTATACATAAACATGTTTATATTAAAACTAGCTTTCCGCCCGCGGCTTCGCCCGCTTGGAATTTTGTCTGCCACAGAAAAACTTTATGGCGCGCGTCCCTGTTTAAGAAACCGGGATGAAAACTATCTTATGTCCTCAAAATATCACTATGCCAAATTTAATCAAAATCGGTTCAGTGGTTTAGACGTGAAAGCAAGACAGACAGACAGACTGAGTTACTTTCGCATTTATAATATTAGTAAGTTAGGTAACATTGTTTAACGCCCGTATTCAATAGAGCTCTGTGATTGGTTCATAATTTGTCACTCTGTGCGTCTACGCGCACTGTGAGATTTCATAGTAATGTTTGTGAATATTACCTACGGGCGTAACTGTCGTTCGATCGGAATATAAAAGTTGTAATAACTAAGAACTAGGTACATCAATTTTGTTGTCTGTTTGACACCTGAATGTCAGCTTTTTTTTTATGTGACAGGAGACAAACGAGCAGACGGATCACCTGTGCCTCTACCATGAGTTGCCATCGAAAACTTGTATTCGTATACTACAGTCGATAGAGTTTAAACGTGGATCGATGAAGTTTGCATTAAAACCATACCATGAGTTCAATTACCGTATACTTTACTCGCTAGCGATAATTCGATGGTTTTGTGATGTCATGTTGGTGAACATGTTAACGTATCCAACTTCACACTCTATGAATGGATGAATGAAAGAACGAATGCCGCTCCTTTCTAACTTTATAGAAAAGATAGAGTAGGAAATAACAAAAATGTCAAAAATAACACTGCAAAATTTAAGTGTCCTAGAACAGTGCTTAAAGCAGAATTAACATGATGATTTTAAATTTGTATTCTTTATTTCTTGTCATTGCGACTTTGACGCAGCTGTTGTCATGACAACAGATAACAAAACATGTTTTGTTGAAGGATTATTGATGAATAATTTTCCACAAAAAATTGGATTTTAACCACGATAGGAAAATAAGAACCTGCGCCTATCCGTTTAAACCGATTGTAGAATTTATGGAAAGGTAAGTTAAGTAAAAATAAACATACTATTTATTGGAGGAATTTCGAAATTAAACGAATAATTTTGAGCTGGTTTTTTTGGAGAAATACAACCTTTCCAGCATAACTTCCACGTGCCTAGCTAAAATTCAGTAATATGAGTGCTAGATTTATATTTTCTAGATACAATAAAGTTGTTTTTCTATAGATATGGCGATCTGAGTATGCCCACTGAAGGGCCCCAAGAAAGAGCCAACAATAGTCAACGGTGGGTGGAACTAACGGACACGCGAACGTGAAATGCTGATGCCACCGGCGACACGAAAACTACTGAGAAATTGAGAAAAGTGTGTATAAATACCTACTACTTTATTCATTTTGATTGCTTTTATCTTATTTCGTCATTATTATTTGTAATGTTTATTTGTTAAGGTGTGGAGTGACTTTAAACAGCAAGAAGAAGGCAACTCGCATACACAGAGCTGCCAAGGGAACACTGGACTGGTGGCGGTCCAGGTTCTTCCCTGAAGCCAAAGGATTTAGAGCAGAGTGCTTGTAAATAACTACTTGTAAATTAAATCCATAATAAAGACCTAGGGTAACTGGATGGATATACCTACCTTATTATTGTAAAACTTAAGATATTATAATTAATTAAATACATTATATTGTTTTAATCTTTCATGGTCACTAAACATACATGGTAGCAATCTCGTCAGTAATAATAATTAAGTAAATACATATCCTACTAATATCCTACTTAATATTAAAAATGCGAAAGTTTGGATGTCTGGATGTTTGTTACTCTTTCACGCAAAAACTACTGAACGGATTTTGATGAAACTTTACAGTATTATTGTTTATAACCCAGATTAACATATAGGCTATAATTATGACGATCTGTGACAAACTAAATTTCACGCGGACGAAGCCGCGGGCAAAAGCTAGTTGAAAATAAAATGATTAATTTTTATTGACTATTTATTTCACAAAACCTAATACATAATACACAGACTGATTAAAAACAAAAGTAAATTTCAACTTATGAAAATACATATTCATTGTCGGATTAGCTTTCTATCATGATCTCGTAAGGCTGCGTTTCCACCAGAGATGTGCGAGGATGCGTAGCGAAGGATGTGTTTGTAAAGAACCAATAGAATCGCTTCATTTACCTCGCCTCGGTCAGCACATCTCTGGTAGAAAAGGCTCAGGCTGTACAACACTAATGAGCATTTTCAAATCTCTGCTACACATCCTCGTACGATACATTTTCCTCGCACAGCTTTGGTGGAAACCCGCACACATTTTCACAGCACAGCTAGACATCTTCGCACGACACAATTCCCTCGCATATCTCTGGGAAACGCAGCATCCTCTCCCTCCCCCAAGGATCTCCACAATGTGCCCGCATCCAGGTTCTTCCCGCGACCTTCACCAGATCGTCGGTCCACCTAGTGGGAGGTATGCCCACATGCTGATAACATGTTCCATCGTAATAAACTTCTTTCCGACATAATTTAATAAAGAAAACACCTAAAATGACCTAAAACCACAATTTTATTTTGCTTTTCACACGTCAATAAGCCAGTGAGTTACGTTACTGTGACAGCTAAGGTATTTTTCGATGACATCTTTGAAAATTGCAACTCATGGTAAGTTATTTGTATGAAACTTGATAAAAACTTTAGTCGCTATCGTATTCATTTAGATAGGTTTTTTACCTAACGATTTGAGATGAACTCATGGTAGTGTTTTTAGTTTTGCTGTGGTTCAGCTACTAACCGCTAGAGGCGCTGTACAATTTGCCATACATTTTTTTACGCCCTCGATAGCGAGATGCTCGGTAGGTAAACTCATGGTAGAGGCACTGATGGTAAGTGATTACCGTCGCCCATAGACACCCGCAGACCCAGGGGCGTTACAGGTGCGTTGCCGGCCTTTAAGGTGAAGATACGTTCTCCTCTTGAAAGCTTGCCTTTTTCCACTTTAGCCCGTAAGTACTTGAAAGTTTCACGCGCTTGCATTTCTGTCTGAATAAGATTTTTCCGGTTTTTTAGCTCGTCTGCTATTAGATTATTTATTTTTTATCATCATCATATCAGCCACAGGACGTTCACTGCCGAACATAAGCTCCAAGATTTCATCGCCCGGTTGGTAGCGGTAGCTTACTTTCCTATAAATCAATACAAACTAATTTAACATCACTAACTAAGACCCAAACAAACACCAATGAGTTAATTTCGAATTTCCTGATGAGAGCAAACATATAAAGCGAGATCCTAAAAGGACAAAATAGTACAGCAAAATGTATTCAAAGTTGGCAATTGTATTATAACTTTCTATGATATATATTTGGGTGATTACGTTTCTATACCTATTAATAGTCGTTTAACGTATTTAGGAAATATTCTACCTCAGGATATTTTTGACAAAGGTCGATTAATGGACATCATTATTCATCATCATCAGTGGATTACTTCATAAGCGCTTGAAAGTCGATTAGTTCTCATTAATTGAGATTGTATTGTGTTACTACTTTAGATAGTTACTCAATATTAAACTAACTAAAAATGTTTTATATTCAATGTTAAACTATAAATTATCATTCATTTAGGCTCAAATTCAAATGTCAGTTTAATTTAGTTAATCAATTGAGGCTCCAAACTTTACACATCTATCACCTAGACGCCTATCAATTACAAACTTTACTTCAATCCATTTAAGGCTTAACAACGACATAAAAACTGCCAATAAATTGTAGAAATTAAATCATTATTTTTATGGGACAGAAAGCAAATGAGCGGACGGATCACCTGATGGTAAATGATTACCACCTCCCATAGACATCCGCAGCACCGGGAGAGTTACAGGTGCGTTGCTAGCTTTTAAGGTATAAGCGCTGTCTTCTATAAAGATTGTAGAATAGAAGTTCTCTTTTCTCCCTAAGTAAATACTATTTTATCAGCAACACTTGTACATTTCCTGTTAACGGCGTCCTTCACGCACATTTGTCGGGCTTTTTCGGGTGATCAATCTTGCAGATGCTTTCAAAGACAAACGTGAATTAATAGTAATTCCAGTTTGTATGTCGTAATTTGTCACTTGAAAGTAAAAGAGATCAAACAACGTAAACCTGAACGCCTGAAACTTCATGAGTTTTAAGGTTTCACCCGAAAAGTAAAAGTACTTGAACTGTATGTTAAATATGTATTATTTATACATATTTTCATCGGTTTAGATTTTTAGTTATCAGATTATAACATAAAAACACACACATGAAAAGGCTCTTATTTCACACTGAAAAGTGCTTAACTGAAAGTTAAACGTAAAAAAAAGCTTATTGCTGTTGGGATTTATAGGTGTAACAATAAATTATTTACATACAAAGCAGCTAAATAAAAAGTCAGTTTGTTACCTACAGAAAATATAACTAAATCATTAACAAAGTTACTACTAACATTACTAAAGTCGCTGACATAGCCCGACGGATTATGGCACTGGGCAGGGCACATAGTACGCAGAACTGACGGCCGATGGGGCAGCAAGGTTCTGGAATGGAGGCCGCGTACCGGATAACGCAGCGTGGGACGTCCACCTACAAGGTGGACCAACGACATCATAAGGGTAGCAGGAAGTCGTTGGACGCAGGCCGCTACCAACCGGGTAGCATGGAAAGCATTGGTGGAGGCCTATGTTCAGCAGTGGACGTCCTATGGCTGAGATGATGATGATGATGAATCATTAACAGAATAAGGCTGGGTTGCACCATCTAACTTTAACAAACGTCAAAAATCTGTCAAACTCTATACAAAATACACCAGTTATCGTTATAGTAACTGTCAAAGTTAGGTGGTGCAACTCAGTGTAAGTAATGTGTAGGTAAAGTATCTTCAGGTAGATAAATGACTTTTGTTTAGTGAGAGAAATATTTCAGAGATGGTGAAAATTTCTCTCACAGTCACAATGTGTTCCAAAAAGTTACCTTCGTCTCTTAGAAAATATAATAAAGTACAAAGGTTATAGATATAATTGTACCTACAAATAATAAATAACAAGACAACTTCTTCAGCACAATCGAATAATGATGCCACTAACGATATAGTTAAATGCCATAAAACTTGTTTACTTTGGAATTTATTGTGTTATTTATCTTCAGTTATGATTGTAGTCATTAAAAGTAACACACACTTAATTAATTTGTGATAATAAAATTTATGATTTATACTTATTTTTGATAAATGTTTTTCCTGTAATTATTTATGTACTTTTTTTTACCTACAAACTTACCAAAAGATTAATGTATGGTGACGAGAAACTTCCCAGAAGACGATTGCTATTTAACTTTAAAGGCCTTAAAGCTTTATAGGTTATATGAGTTTGGGAGTAGAGACGATGATAAACAACTCCATTCTTGCCAGTTATAATAAAAGATGCAGAAATACCCTGCAATTTTTGGGATATGGATGTCATAGCATAAATAAGGTGTTATCCTGAAATACGCCTTTGAAAGCACTCTCACTGAAATTCATCAATACTTAGTCACAAATAACATGTAAAGTTAACTCCAACAACCGCCAATAGATGGTCCTGGTATGCCTTAATTATTTAACAACAATAATCATCATCAGTATGAAATAAAATATACCCGAGGTTCATCAAACAAGCAATGACAGTTCGTTGTACTTGCAAGTTAAATCGGTTAATTGGACTCAGTTTCTGTACAAAAAACACCCAATCTTCGATATACTTTAGTTCTTAAATAGACCGCGTAATGGTCTACCCACGCCTGAGAAGTAAGTAAAGAGTAATAATCTCAATTAACCTGTGAACGTGTTATTTGAAACAAGACAAAAATAAATCCAAGCCTTTCAGGCTGACATTTAGTGCGGTGGTAAACGTGGAACGTTACAAACATAATTTCTACCACGCTTCAAAAATAAAATACGAGTTAAGAATAAGAATAAGAATGTCTTAATTTAATGTGAGCAAGAGTAAGTAAACATAAAAAAATTAAAATAAAAACATAATAGGTATGTTGAATAGGCGCCCGCTCAGCAAAAATCGCGACATGACACAAACGTCATGCGGAGAAGCTGGTTTTCAGCGGGAACCAATGCGTGATGAGGATTGCGCGCCCTTCTGGTCGAGACGGTTTGATCAGACCGTTCATTCGTTCGTTATTTTCAGCCAAATGACGTTCACTGCTGGACAAAGGCCTCCTCCAAGGTTTTCCAC